GCCCCCCTCCCCAAATTCCCTATAAGATTCTTTGGAAAAAAAAGGACCCGGGGGGGGCTCCCACACCCCCGGATTTGGCCCACCAATTTTCTTTTTTGAACCCTCGCCCCCCTTAGGAAAATTCCCGCAATGGGAAAAAGGGCCAAACCTTCTCTCGGAAGAATTAGTATCCAACCAATTTGGTAAATACCCCCCCCAAAAATAACCCCTCCCTGCGAGCACGCTCCTTGCGAGCACGTATCATCCTCAAGCATCTCTTTTTCATGCGCCATTTTTGGCCCTGCTCTCCCTTGAGCCCCTCAATCAACAACCACACAATCATCTAGCGGATCATCATTTAGCGGCCGATGCATTGTGATGCGAGGCTTCACTGTCCAGTTAAGAATTAGCCGGATGAGGCTTCGGCCACCGAGGCTTCGGCCAACGAGGCTTCGGCCAACGAAAAAGAAAAATCCTCGCCCTCCGCCCGCCCTTGCCTCCGCCCAACCCTCCGCTCTCCGCTCTCGCCCTCCGCCCTTGCCCTGGCTGGCCTGGGTGGCATCTCCTCATCATCACGCGCCAAGTGGGAGGGAAGTGGACGGGGCCCTGAGCCGACCTAGCCCTAAACGGAATGGGGCGCCCAACACGTGCCCGGATTACTGTGCCTCCCCCGGGTGCAGCCTTTCGGTTCGTGAAGGGTCGGTGCGTGTCGTGACCCCCTGGAACACCCGTACCCCCGCACCATCTCCGTCGCGTGGTTCTACAACCTTAACCATCACCGGGAGGCGGCCAGGGCTTCATAGACTCGGTCGAGAGACCCCAGATTGGCATCCATGCCTCTCTGGACAGGGTGGCCCGCCACAAGGACCCCAGGAATTGCGACTCGCCGCTTTCCTCCCGCTGTGATTCTGTGTGAGCTCTGTGTCTTGATTTGCCAACAATATACCTACACACGACATCATTTTAAAGTTTTTGTTTTTGCCAACAGCATTTTCCTGGACGGTCCTTCGGCCGAGTCTCGCGGGCACCACACCAAATGGCCTGCAACCACGCCTCGCTCGCGACGCGGACGCGGTACACGCGGCTTGACCTCGAGAGGCCTCGCCGCTGCGCCTGCGGCGTGGCGGCGCTCGCGGTGGCGGCTTCGCTGGCGGCAGTCGCGGCGCTCGCTGCGTCGCCGCTCGCGAGGAGTGGTGGCGTCGTGGCGGCCTGGAGAACCGATTCGGCGGCCGCCAGCTCGGAGCCGGCGGCCCGGCCTCGCGGCGCTGTCAGCGGAGCGGCCACCGGCGTGCAGTTTGTCGTCCGAGGCGAGGCGCAGCAGGTCGTGAGGTCTGTGGGAGGTTGGCTCAACTACACGCTCGATGTGACGGAGGGAGTCTTCCTCCTCCCGCGCGGCATCTCCTTCGCCACGCGCCTGTACAACGGCGTCTCTCCCGCACCGCTGCTGCTCGCGAGGCCGGGAGACCGCATCAGGCTGCGGTTGCGGAACCGGCTCGGGCCAGACGTCGCGTCGCCAAAC